TCCATACCAAGCATTTTCAATCAGCTTTTTAACAGACTTCACTTAAGCGGATCGATATGAAAATTAAACCAGTAATTGGAAATGGATTTAAAATTGGTATCATGTATTTTTAAGGCAATCGATATTTCCATGGAAACGATAAACCAAAAGGTTTAAAATCGGTAAAACAAGAATTTTGCGCAAACCAGATCTGATATGAAAAAGTTAATACCAATGGCTTAAACTGTGGTGCATGGCAAGTAGAATATACAAGAATACAAAATTCTTTATGTTTGATGTCGAGAAAATCGCAAAAACATTTTAAATTATACTTCTTGCACAAGTTCATGGAACCCCTAAAAACTGCTCTGTAACCCTCGGTCAAGAGCAATACTAATTTCAAAAAAGAGGCATTAATGTTCATAAATTTTCCTCATCATAAATTATCTTACTGCAATCTCACATATGTTACTTACTTTCTTAACCCGTTGCTAAATTCGGCCAGTACGACTTCATAAGCAGAACACCTCTTCTCAGTTGGATCAGCTTCAAGTGATAAGCAGCTCAGCAATAACTTTACCTCCTCTCTTTTTAATGCTATAGAGTACTTTTTCATCAGCACTATGATGGCAAGCGAAGAAACTACTGCAGAGACGTGTGCAGTTGACCCCACCTTACATTCAGTCAAGAGGGCAATGTTATTCTCCATCTTTGGTCTCAAAAGGCCAGTTAATGCCTGCAAAATAATTCAAGTATTAAATTACTTACCGGCTTAATTACGGGTCAGTGGTGCTATTCCATAACGACATAACAAGAACAAATAACATCGTTTAACGTTAAATTTGAGTTACGCACCAAGTAAACATACACACCTAACTCCAAATAACAAAGCATGTCAAATGCTATGTTTCACCGAACATGATCAGGTTTTTGCGCCGCTTACAACGGTATCGAAACAAGTTGTCGAAATACTAAACCCTAAAGCGCTAATTCAACAAAATCCAGTAGCAAAGAAACTAACTTTAAAAATTTAAACACAAAAACATAAGTTTTCATTACTGGCTAGAGAAAGTCAATATACTGCCGTCAAACAAATTACCTTTCGCACATCAAAATTAATGGGTTGCATTTCCCGATGGTGCCCCTTTTCTTGTATCCAAACGTTTGAGAGGCAATTCACAACATTGTAAAGTTTCACTATCGCCTCTGTAGCATCCATGTTTTCAGTTGTCTCGTTAACAAGAAAACCCCTCCACTTTGGTAGGAAACATAGCAACGCCTTTGTGCGATACTCAACCGTCTTGTCCCTAGAGAAGACTGAATCCCACATTCTGGAAAACATGCTTTTGTCGCCGTAGACGTACGCCACTCCGTCAAACTGATTCCACGAAGCTGTCATACAAAAACAAAATACCAATTTCATAACTACCATTAAAAAAAATACGAATTACCATTTGGCCTCAAAGACATAAAGAGCTATAAAAGCAAGAGCAAAAAAAATAGTGTGGAGGCTTTTCTTGAGGCGGATTAACGGGTTGAAATTTTCAAGGTACACTCCATTGGCCCTTTTCCCTCTTACTACGCCAGCGAAAAGAGCACGAACACAAACCATAAACTACATTGGCTATGATTATAAGCAGGTTTAAGACTATTAAGGTGGCCGAACACAGTTTTAAAGAGCCTCTGCCTAATTCACCATTACTTTAAAGATATTTATGCTTTGGCGCCCGTTTTTTGCAAG